AAACACCAACAATGAACAGTGAAGACAGGCACCATATGGAAATCCCACTAATAATCTCCACTACCATCCGCCTCTTTCCTTTCCCACCATTGCTCGTCTGTTTTGCACCTGCTTCTGTGCCAGTAGAGCTCAAGGAATTCCCTTTGTCTGAAAATCAAAGAAAACCATTAGAAAAGAAAAACTAAAAGTAAAACCAAGTTGAACAGATTAACAAAAACTAAAGCAGAGAAGGCAGGAGAAGATTAACAAAAAGAAGAAATTATATTACCATCGGAAACTGTGCTATTAACCCCTTTGCCGAACTGCTCGAAAACTTGGGCATCTGGTGAATTAGGAGCCAAGTGCAGAAGAGCTGGATCCATGGCCACAAAGGGAATAAACAGCATCAAATTTGTGATATATATATACATGCACCATGATTCCTACCGGTGAGTTCATTTAATACATATGTGGGCATATACGTACCCGGACAGTCTGAAACATTTGCAGAAGTGTGGCAAGCAGTAGGTAGGCTCAAGGCAAGAGTTACATTGACCTTTATGCCGAGATCTGGATCATTTCTATCTTTGACGAGGATGCAGAGACACTTCTTGCTCTTGTCTACAACTTCTTTGAGTCCACTGCAACAGTCCAGAGTTGGTGCCTTGGCTTGTCCACCCACATATGGTAGGCAAGTAGACAGACCAATCAATTGATTCTCGCACTCATTTTTATCTTGAGCTATATCTGACCTTACTGAACCAACCATSAACACTAACACGAATGAGAGTTGCAGAGAAGCAAAGTATGAGCCCATTGAGGCCATTCTCTCCGCAACAGTCCAGCGAGAGATCTAGAGGGAGAGAGAGATGGGATGAGGGTGATGATGGAGCTGGTATAAATTGTGTTGGCTGTTGGGACTTAAAGCTTAAAAAGTAGACCCTTTACACTCTTTTCACCTGTGAAGAGGATAAATCTACCTCTGCAATGGTAGGTTTCTGCTTTCTGTTGAGGAAATATGGATGACACCCATCAATCCAATCCGTCCAAATGGTGGTCCTTCTACTGTGACTAACCAAATGAAATACATCCATTATCTGTTTTGCTGTGAGGCTGAATCATGAAATGAGAGCCATAATTATTTCGCTAATATTAGACTCGATATTTATGGTCCTATGAAGCTGTGATCAGAATGATTCGTCCAATCGAAGGAAAGGAATTCTTGTCGTGTTTCTAGGGTGATTAGATCCCATCCAGGACCCTTCTTTTCTGGCAACTCGTGATTGCTTTTGATTCATCTCTGTTATTACTTTGATTCCTTACCAATAGTTCAAGGTGAGACCCATTTGAGTTCTGTCCCACATTTATATCTTCTTATGTAAGAGGGATTACTTGTTCATTCATCCACTACGTAAGATTAGTTTGTGTCAAGGTCCACTGTCATTATCTTTAGTCTTTTCGTGGAAGGTGGAACCTGAAAGAAGGAATACTTACAGAGTTTGGACTTGTTCTGGTTTTAATAATCACTTTCTCCACCCATGTGATCATGCCTAATCTAAGCTAAGCTATTCTGTTCTGCCTCATTGCAGTTGCAGATTTCCATTCTTCTTTTTTTGGTTGGAGCGCTGGGGCATTGGTAATGATCAGTAACATCAATGTTCATGGTCCAGAAGAGCACCTTTCTCCTGGGTAATGGCGTCGGGAAATACTGCCCACTTAATTGGGTTGGATGGAAAGATCAGTTCAGTGGCGAGCTTCTTAAATAAGTAGCTGTTACCTGTATCTCTCGTGTCTGAACTACCCAAGAGAGATYGAGTGAAAGAAAGAATGTGAGTCTGTGTTAAATGCTTGAAATTTCAAAAAGTTATCCACCTATTTTCTAGACTGAGGAAAGATTACGGATGTGATGTCAATGTTCCAGTTTGTTCTTTGTCAAGGGCGTCAACTGTTGCAGTTGCAGGCTGCAGGGGGACGAGGTTAGGTCAATTCCTAGTTGTCTGGTCCATCTCACTCTGCGTTGTCGCTCTGGACGTGTTTGAAATTAAACCATCCACCGTTTCACCTACCCATTAGAGGGACAGATCATTGCTGCAAGTTCAATCATGTTGTTAAACTACCCATATGACATGAAATTTTCCACCAGGAATCAAAGCCCTTGAATTGAATTGGGGGACGGTTCCTTCTTTTGTTTTTTTTCTTGGGTCTTACTAAACTACAAATTCTGTTATCACTTTCAAATACTCTGTTTAAAGAAGTGATGGGACAATAAGCAGACGCATGAAGACAATGATCCAACTGTCCCTTGCATTTGCAATTGTTTAGCCTGTTCAGTCTTCATTTTCACGTTAAGCTATACCTAGGGTAACTAGTGCTTGATCATTTGGAAAAACCAGTGAGAAATAGAGAATTGGCTTTGAGTGGATATTCAAAAATTAAATTGAGGTAATGATGCCCAACCCATTTTGCAGTCAATGCAGCTTCACATTTGCCGAGACTAGAGTCCAAGGTGTACTGAGTAGAATCAATCCAATGCCCCATTAATTGGACAATATGGGACACTGAACCTGATCTCTATGAGTAGCTACTAATCAAAGGGCCAACTTGTCCATCAGTAAACTTCTTGAATATAAGCCAAGATCAAACAGGCTGTCGGACAGAAKACTCCTCCACGAACTAACAAAGAGGATAAATACTTAGGAGCCCCTCTTGTAAACAAGAGGGTTACAAAGAATAATTTCAAAGAATTATTAGAAAAGATTAACCTCCGGCTATAGAAGGTTGGAAAAGCAATTCTCTATCCTTAGGGGGGAAAATCACCCTACTGAAATCAGTTGTGGGAAACATATCCCAATACCAAATGAGCTTGTTTGGAATCCCCTTAGAAAAAATGTTTTTGAATCGCCGTTGACCTGGCTGGTCAGATCGTTTGGCACAAGAACCATCTAGACAATCGGTTCTATTTTACCCCAAACCTGATCCCTGGCCAAAAACTGTTGAATTGGTCAGCAACTCGCTGACCCGAGTGGTCTAACTATTGACCCATTCAACGGTTTTGGCAGTCTTTTATTTTAATTTTTTATTTTTGTTCATTAGAACGGGCCATCCATTCAAATCAGACGGTCGAACCATCGGCTCAGAAACCGGTGACCAGAATGGTTCCGGTTCTGGGTCGGTTTTTAAAACCTTGCTTAGAAATCACTAAACAGATGGATAAAGCTCAAAGACAATTCCTTTGCGGAAAAAAAAAAATAACAAAATAACAAATCCTTTTCTCTAGTCAAGCATGTGTTTGGAACTGGGGGCGTTTATTGAACAAATGCTGCCACATAGGCACCACTTCAGCATTTCCTCCATTATGTGGATCCGTACGCATAGAGATTCAAAAAAGCATGCATTGATTTATGTGTGTGCCTGGCGTTGGGGGAAGCTTCATTTTAGCGCTTCCCCCAACAGATAGGCGTTTATTCACTGTTTTACTAATGTGGTGCCTAATGGCGCCTAGTAGTGCCTAAGTCTCAATAAACAAATTCATTATTATTATTCTCGGTTTTGCAAACAAATAAAGTACAAACGTTTAGTAAATAAACGCCCATGATTCCAAACACATACCAAATAGGATATACTACTGTTTGTTCTGATAAGAAAAACGGGGGCCTTGGAATGAGAAAAGCCAAACAAACAAATCAAACAAATTTGATGAAACTTGGCTTGAAAGTTTTGACCCAACAAGACAACTTAATGGGTTCAGGTGGTTAAAGCAAGTATTTAAGCAATACAAATTTCCTAAACCACCTAACTCCAAAAGCATTCTCCTAGGCATGGAGAAAAATCACTCAGGTTAAAGAATTTATTAAAATGCAGGTTTTGGAAGGACAACTGGGTTGATGAGAGGCCATTAGAAGAATTGGTGACGACTACCAATGGAAATGATGAAGCCTTGAACTGGACAGTGAAGGAAGTTATAAATCCCTCATCTAGAAATTGGGACATAAACAAACAAAGTGGATTGATCTCATTGGACATAATAAACAAAATTAAGGCTATCCAGATCCCTTTGACTGAAACAGAAGACGAGTGTTTCTGGGGATGGAGTCAGGATAGCAATCTCACGGTTAAAACTGCATATAATTTGCTAAGAAATGCAGAAAATATTGACCCTGAAGTGCTAAAAAGCATAAAAAAAAAGTCAAGGACTATCCTTTGCCTAGAGAAAATAAAAATTTTTCTTTGRCCGGCAATAAGAGATAAATTGCCAACTAAAAACAATCTGGTAGAGAAAGGGCTAAACGTAACCTTGGACTGCCCTTGGTGTGGAGAAAAGGTTTATCGGAATCAGCTATTGACAGTGTCAATTTGCAGCCCAAGTGTGGAGGCAAATGGACCCCCTAAACTTAACCAAAATGAGGGAGCCACAATGGGACTTAGATGATGGAATTGGAGGAAAACTTAGAGGATCTCTCTCTCTCTCTCAAGATCTGGGTCTAAAAGCCTGGAATTATGCTTTGAAATTCAATCCATAGACCATAATACTCAAAATCCAAGAACTGAGAAACCCATAACCCGGATAAAATGGATTCCCCCTGACCCTGGCACTTTAATAATCAAGACGGACGCTGTGCTTTTGGCTGCATCATTAGAAAGCATAGACGCGATTATCGAGGGTGATTCTCTGTGCTGGTCATCACGACGCACCAACGCTGATTGAGGATCCCATGGAACAACCATACCATGTTAGAAAGAGAAGCAAATAGCGCTGCTTACTGATTGCTGATTGGCATAGAAAAGGTCAAGAGCAAGAAGTATACTCCATTCTACGTCTCCCTTGGGAGTTCAATTTTGTTGTTTTTCTTGATGCGGTTGGCAGGGCTCTCCCCCGCTGGTGCTAACTTTCCCTTGTTTGTATATAAAAAAAAAAGGATGATAATGGATTCCTGATCATTAATTAAGCACATTAATATAGCAGAATTTTCATAGATAAGTATGTCAACTAATTCTCAGTTCATTAGATGTCCATGAACCATGTTTCATCCTGAATTTCTCCTGCCCCACCCATTACATAACTGATTCACTGACGTTGCAAGAATCACGGAACATCCGCCAGAACAGCTTTCATTGAAGATCCTTAATCCTTAAGAAATGTAGGACAGGACCTACCTTATTCATTAGCATGTATAAAGACAATAAAAAAAATTAAGTTTATCAATATTTTTCTCATTGGCCATTGCAGTTATGAACTTGGAACTCAGTGATTATGCAACATTGTAGAATGAGCTTTATTTTTTTTTTTCCATATGTGCAGCATCAGAACCCATTCCACCATGAAAATGAACAAGGAGGAAAACCAAACATATTGGCTGCTGAAAATTTCAGAATTGAAATTTATATTTAAGAGGCCCAAAAATTTGAATAAAGACGTATTCATAACTTTTCTATGAAACAGATGCATAATACAAATAGATCATGATAAGGTTGCACGTTGGAACAGCTGGAGAAGAATAAAGGCACCATGATCGACCCTCCTCTGAATAACTTAGAGAATTGAATTGATCTTCATCCAGCGGCATTTGTCTTTGTGCATCAGTCTAGAGGCCTAAATAAAAACAATGGACAATGCAAGTAAGTGATCTCTCTACAGGCACAAGAGTAGACAGTGAGATTCAAATGATAATCAAATAATTAAAAGTTACAGTAATTGCCAATTGTTTTTTTATAGGCATGCAGTAGTTAAATTCTCTGTTAACATAAAAGAAAGTTATATTCATTCGTGTCTTATTGTTAATAGCCACAAGGTTTTAGTGTGTACCTAGTGCATTTTTTATCATGTACATAGTGCATTTTCCTCTAATTTGTGGTAGAAGTGACTTTTATACTGTAATGTTTTCTTGCATTGTTAACAAACCTATCCTTGATCATTGCCACTGACACAACGGGAAATAACAGTGAAATGAGAGGAAGCATACAATGAATTGGCTGAGTACCTGTAATGTCAACGTCTTGTCCTAGGYTTACAGCGGAATTCAGCTAAGAGTGCTATATGATCAGAGGACCATTCAGGAGAGGGAAGTGCTGTTTCTTTCCGCAAGCTCTCTTCATCCAAGAGCTCCAATAAGGATTCTACTGTTAGGGAGTCCGCTGAAACCAAAATCCAAATGAACTCCTATCAAGATCCTCAACCATACAATCATGAAATTACAAAATGCAATAAGAACATTGACTAGGAAAGCTAGCAAGAAAAGTGCATGGTTCATTCAATCTCTGCAACATGCTTGAACACAAGAAGAAACCTAGAAATTTCAGCAAAAATGCAGGGCAGCTGGTGTGTCTCACCTTGTCTTCTAGCATGTTGCATCAAAGTAACTTATTCATAATTTTCTAGGTACCCATCTTATGAAATATTCTCATTAAAAGGAAAGGATGTGTAACAAATCTACCTGTATAAAATATGTAATCAAGAGTGCCAATAAAATCTCTTGTACAATTTGTAAATAAAGGCTCATTTGTTGTAGGATCCATTCTCCTCCGTTGTTGCTCTAAAGCAATACCAACACCCATTCTTGCAAAGGATGAGTATGCACTGACCTGTAAGGAGCTTAATGTCATAACCATCACAAGTTCTTAAAACCGCATAGGAAGCAACAACATTACTAGCGGCATTTTAAAAGGACAACACATGAAAGAATCATGAAGTCTGCATACACGGGAAACAAACCTTGAGGATTTGGGGTCATTAGCTATCTTCTTTAAATAAAGATGAATTAAAACGGGAAACAGAAATAGCCTTCTATAGGCAGCCCACCCAACAGTTAGGGCCATTATTAATCTCTATCTTAAATTATGAGGCAACATTAATTATTAGTTTATCACTACAACGGTTTTTAATGTTGTATACTATAATAAAAGGTTTATTATCCTTAAATTAATTATTCAACTAAATTTTCTAGAAGAGCTTTATATTCTGAAAGCCTAATTCAACTTGTTGATTCAAAGGACTACAATCCATAAATCAAAATACTTATTTATATGGGTCAATGCAAAAAAATGTGGTTTGAATGTTTCTATGTTTCACAGTTGTTTGCAATTTATTTTGGCAATAACTACTGAAATTTGCCCAAAATGTTGCCAAAATTTGAAATATTTGCATATAAGAAAATTGAAAACTTCGTTAATGTCATCATTTTTTTAAATATCAGGAGATGTTTTGGATTTTTTGATTCCAGGATGTTTTTGTTTCACCAGACTAATTCTTCTCCCCTTTCACAGAAACAGCATACATTATCCAGCACAATTCATATATAATTTAATACCTCTTTCTTACTGAAATTAAAATTCAATGGAACATGGTGGCATCTAGATCTTGGTTAAGGGAGACCCCTCCCAATCCACAAACTTTTTTTATAACACCAAATCCACATAAAACTTTATCCCACATCTACTGGACCTTGCCCCAGGTTTTTTTATTCCAGTTACCATAAACTATTTTTAAGGTAGAAGTACTGTATTGTATTGTAATTAGTGTACACATCAGTAGGGGTGAGCATAGTTTGGTTGAAACCAAAAAACCGAAAAACCGAACCGAAATTTCGGTTTCAACGATTTTGGTTCGGTTATTTCGGAGATAGGTTCAGGTTTGGTTATTTAGCATTTAGAAGTTCGGTTAACCGAAAAAACGAACTTCTAAGGTCATGTTAATAAATATATTATATTATATATAATAATGAATTACCTCAGCCCAGGCCAATTTTTGTAGTTTGACTAGTTTACTTTTGTTTTTCCCCTCCTCTTTCAAGTATAAAAGACAAGAAGTAAAACCCAAACCCTATTTGGCTATTTCATCATTGAGAGACACAACATCGTTCAAGACAAAGTCTCATAACTCTCTGTTTCAACAGCGGTGACTGGTGCAACAAACTTTGATCAAATGCCGGACTTCCAACAAACTTCTTCAAGACAAAGTCTCATAACTCTGTTTCAACAGCGGTGACTGGTGCAACAAACTTCGATCAAACGCTAGACTTCCAACAAACTTCTTCATCTCCGACACCGGTAGCAATAGTCCAGCGAATAGCAACTCAGGTAATGTTTCTTTTTTTCCCCTTTTTTCTTCTTCGTTTCTTCTTATTTGCTGGGTTCTCTGAGTAAGAGTGAAATGTATTTTTGTTTTCTTAGGAGACAGTCCAGAGAACATTGAATTTTTGTTTTCTTAGACATTGCCTTCGTGACTTTGGTTTTGTTTTTATAGACAGTCTGGTTACCGGTGGCTTTTGCAATTGAAATTTGAAAGAAAATTTGTCTTTAAAAGCTGTAGAGTAAATGCCTGACCAAGGTATAAGCCTCGCCCCTATAGACTCTTTGTTAATTATTTTGGTTGTAAACCGAAATAACCATAATAACCGAATAAGAATTTTGGTTCGGTTATTTCAGTTTGGGAAAACTTCGGTTTTGTTTTGGTTTTCCTAAAAAAATCGGTTTTTAAAAATTCGGTTTGTTTGGTTCAGTTTTTAACAGAACAAACCGATTGCTCACCCCTACATATCAAAACCTAATGTAAATTAGGCTCTGTACAAAGTCTTTAGTGTACACATCAAAACCTAAAGTACAGCATGATTGTACAAGTTTCTAGCACAAAACAGCCTCTAAAAAATCCAGGCATTCCTTTCAAGTCAAACACTCCATAAAAAAATTATTTTTTTTATTCATCAGTAACTGAAAGAATTACATCATATTACAACATAGATCACCAATCAACCAAGCAAAAAAACTAGAAAAAACAAAAAGAAAAAAGAAAAAAACTCTTTTGCACAAACACAACTTGCAAATTACAACTCACCACCCAACCCTGGGCATCCCCATACAAGACTTTCCCTTCCAACACCTGCTCTTGCCAAAGAAGCAGCCAGATTATTAGAGCTCCATGGTACCCACCTGAACAAGGTATTCAGAGTTGAACCCAATGGTTGAACCTGCCTCACCAATGTCCTAACTTTCCAAAGAACTCCAACATTTGCCCTCATCCAGCTTACGACTGTTTGACAGTAACCCTCTACTTGCACATTCCTCAAACCTTGCTACACCAACAATTATAGACCTTGAATCAAGGCCAATGATTCTGCTCTCAGATAATTTCCAATCCCCAGCAGCCCAGAGAAACTTAGCATTATATTTTTATCCTCATGATCCCTGGCAACTCCACCTACTCCAGAAGATCCAAGGTTCCCAAAACAGCAACCATCAAAACAAGGAGAATACAATAATAACCTCAAGAAAATGACTCAGCTTAGATTTTAAATTTTTTGCCATTATTTTGTCAAACACAACAACAATTACAGATTGAAAAGTATTGGATAGAAGTTGCATAGCGGGACCTAGGAAGGGAAGGGTTCTTTTACGAGTCACTGAAACTTTAGTAATCGTGGTAAGAGAATAAATACATGTACAATGAACTGCCACGAAGCCTTTTGTTCAGGTAGCAGCAAGGCTGCCCACTTTTATCCAGTACATCAGTTATGCCATTTACTACACTTTGGTGCCCAAGACACTCTGATGATCAAGCCCCCTGTTAAACTTCTTACTTCTCTCATGATGTAACTGTAGCAACATGGTTAGTTGCTACTTGCTACTACTCCTTAGTCATTCTATCAGTCCTTGAATCACCTTCCATCCCTGCTATGTGAAGTTAGATGCTCCCTCAATTCTTAGTCCATACAAAATAGCTAGAATTTCAGCTCCACAGGAATTTTGGGTTGTTTGGTGGCTGAATGGCCAATAAAATATTTGGGTCTTCCTCTAGGCGGTATTCCAAAGAGTATCATGTTTTGGAGCCCAGTCTTAGATAGGTTTTTCAAGAAAATGGAAACATGGAAGAAAAATTACACATCCTTGGATGATAGGATCACTTTCATTAAGGCCAAACTTTCCAATTTACTTGTCTACTTTCTATCAGTCTATAAGATACTTTCACCTGTGGATAAAGGGATTGAAAGGTTGATGAGGGGTTCCTTATGGGAGCCATATGGTTGTAAAAAAGGTCATCTAATTAACTGGAAGACTGTTTTCAAAACCAGGGAAGGAGAATTAGGTTTGGGTAGGATTTCAAATAGGATCCAGTCCCTCCTAGATGAGTGACTTTGGAGATTTCCACTGGTTTCAGACAGAATGTGGCATAGAGTTATCTGGTGGAATGCAAGTTTAAATGCTAAATCCTCTTTTTTTTTGATGAATAATAATAAGTTTATTGATTCAGAAGCAAATTAGAGTGAGTTCATACATCATCCCAGTGAGAGGCGCGAGCTGCAGCCCCTCCTTGAAACTTACAAATAAACTAGGAAAGAAAAATAAGAACCACAACTGAGCCCAAAATAATTCTTCCCTATTTACCCCTTGCTTAG